TAACTACCCATGAACCTCGAAGTAGCTGACTCGCATGGGGGTTTAGGGTTTAGGGTCAAACGCCCTCCAAGGCTTCTAGCTGCCTTTGGCAGCTTTCTTTCTGTCCTACGGCCTAGACCCCGAAATGTAGCTTAGCACGACATTGCAGTCGAAAGCAATCAGATATGCAGAGGGGTCCGAATTAAGCCGCATGTTCAACCCTGAAGCATCACCGAGGAGATTGAAGTGCCATTCAAGCATGGCGGATGCGGCCTATACATCAGGACCCTCGCTGGGACCTCGGTAAGCCAAGTGCTCTTCAGGGCTCTGGGACTTAGGCTTGAAAGCAGCCGTAAGGTGTCATAACGACACCTAAACCCTAAACCCTAAACCCTAAACCCAAATCCTAAACTCCAAACCAGACGAGGGCTGGAATACATCGGTGCTAGATGTCGTTTTAAAGAATTCCTCCTCCTCCTGCTGCTACTTGCTGCAATCGGTGGTGCTGCTCGAAGGTAGTCGCAAGTATCGGTTAGACGTACCTTAACTCTTTACCTCACCCCTAAGAGTCCATGTGCCCAAATAGTATATACTTTGGGCCCAAAGTACCCAAATAGGGACTACTTTAAGGGCAAAGTATCTACTACTTGGGCACACGGACTCAAGGTAATATACCACAAAGCCCTATTCTAATTATTAAGGCCCCTACAGTAGATGTTAACGGCAAAGTGTATACTGTTTTGGCACATGGGCCGGGTGCTTTACTATCAGGAGACTCTAGCCCAGAGGATCTCGAGACCAAGTGCAAGGTGCAACGTTAAGATTTTAGGGTTTAGGGTTTAGGGCTTCTAGGGTCTAGGGTTTAGGGTTTAGGGCTCACGGGGTCTGGGTTTAGGGCTTAGGGCTCAAGGGTCTAGGGTCTAGGGTTTAGGGTCTAGGGCTTAGGGCGTCTTGTATCTTCAGCTCTCGTTCGAAGCCGAGATCCTACTTCAGATCCCCAAACTTCGAATGCTGACCTAATGGTACCCTTTGTTCAAGGAGTTCAGTTGCAAAAAAGAGACCCAACATAGAAAGGTGATGGGGGCATTGGTATATAGCAATTAGTACTAGTATTGGTCATACGAAACCCTAAGCCATGATTCGGCAGGATTACTGCGACTTAGTGTAGGGACCTTGGTAATTAGAATAGGCTTTTGGGGGCTCCTTATTATAATTATAGTATAATATACCGCAAACCCTGTTCTGTTATTGAGGCCTCTACTCTATATTATTCGGACCCACATTTTGGCAAGGCCCGCACCTCCAGCTCCTGTTTCTGCAGCGACTGCGCGGAGCAGCGGAAGGCAACATACACGTCCACGGAAGCCACCTCATGTGTTCAAAACTGCGTTAATCCCTAAACCCTAAAACCCTAAAACCCTAAAGCCCTAAAGCCCTAAAGCTCTAAAGCCCCAAAGACCTAAAGCCCTAAACCCCCCTAAGCCCCAAAGCCCTAAAGCCCTAATGCCCTAAAACCCTAAAGCCCCAGAGCCCCAAAGGCTTGGGGCTTGGAGTTGGAGCTTCTTTAGGGTGTTTAGGGTTTAGGGTGTTTAGGGTTGAGGGTTCAGGGTGCCTGAATACTTTTGAGGGTTTCTGTACTGTCGCTGGGGGATTTAGGGATTAGGGTTTAGGGTTTAGAGTTTAGAGTTTAGGGTTTAGGGTTAAGGGCCCTGTGACCAAATGCCAAGATACTTGTCCCTCCCCATCCGTCCGGTGCACAGCGTAGCCTCGAACAGGCCGGAGTGAGAGAGCCCCGTACTCGTGGGTTTGGGTTTAGGGGTTTAGGGTTTGGGGTTTAGGGGTTTAGGGTTTAGGGATGTAGGGTTTCGGGTTGGGACGTCATAATCGCAATGCAGCTGAGGCAAAGTATAGGCAATCCTACCACTCATCATCGTAAATCCAGGTTCCAGCTTTCTCAAGTCGGATACGTTGACCATTCCTCAAATAAAAGGTGGAACTGTATACGTAGGGGCCTGAACATGTTATTCGTTAGGATTGCTTATTTTGATTATATGTATATACTAGACCCAATAACTCTGTTTTAATTACTACGGCCCCTATACTCAACCCGTATAGTAGCCCTTGTAACAACATTAGAGAAACATTCTAAAGGGAGCCCTATTCTGCTTACAAAGGCCCCCGTATTGTTGGGCCGTCCGGGCACACAGTTCTCCGAAGAACCTCCAAAGCAAACACACGAAGCCCGGATCCGCAACTTGGTTCGTGCTAGGGTAAGTAATCTCAGGGTTACCACAAGGGTTACTGTGGGGTTTAGGATTACGGTTAAGGAGCTTTGTTTAAGTGACCATAACTGGGATTTATGGAAAATAATATGGGTTCCTGATTATGGCCGCTTAGATTACGCTCCTTAACAGGAACCCCTTCTTTGGAAAAAGGCTCTGCTTCGAGTACGTACGGTATCGTAAAAAGTGAAGAAAGGGCAAACGTACCTACAACTGTTTAGGCTCATTTGCTTTTCAAGGTGCAGTGGTTCCTCTATGTGGGGCTGAAGGGCGTCGAGTTTCAGATGATTGGCGGCCGAAAACATGTACATGGATTCACACTAAGGAACAAAATGTGGTACGGTTGGGGACGACAAATAACTAATGTTAGAGGTGTGCTCTGCAACTGCACTGTAGGGGTGGACAAGCAGGAGCATAACTGCTGATTCCAGCTCCCTGTGTTTGCTGACCTTGCAACTGGAACCCTGACAAACATCGACTGCATGACTGCCGAGAAGCGCGTGTGCGCGCGGCCCAAGACCACGCCACCCGTGATGGCAGCCTTTCCAATCAAGATATCACCCCACACCCTACCAATGCTACTAGGACTAAACCCTAAACCCTGAATTTTCATACAGCCAAATGTACCTCTTTATTGCTTATTCCTCCAGTCTAGGGGCCTCAATGATTTCAATAGAGATTGAAGTATATTCTGCTATGGTTCTATAGGGACTACACAGGAATAGTCTTGCTAACTACGCAGACCTATATACTACTTACATAAAACTGCTCAGGAAACTCCCAACAATCATGCTCTAAAACGGCAGCGGCCTCCAGCGGACGGGCGGCGGCACTCTCCGGCGAGACCACCACAACGTCTGGGCAATCGTAGAGCCTTAGGCAAGGAGTTTGAGTTTGCTAGTTCATGGTTGGGCCAGCATTCCAACATTAAGCTGGTATTCCTCATTAAGTTTATATGCATTCAGAAACTACAAAATGTGACCCAACTATGGCAAAGTTTAGGATTCAGGGACTTTGAGTTAGGGCTTTTATGGTGTCAAGGCACTACCCATAGGCCCCATAGT